TGATGAGGCCAAACCCAAGAGAATCAGTCTGGTTTCCCACAGGGCTTCAGTTGTCTCTCTCCAAACCTGCTTCTGCAACTCTTTTTAAACACAGGTAACATGCAGTCTGAGATTCAGGATTGCCTGACAGCAGCACACCATGGGAGCAGCTATTTGTGCCCGTGTGTATGCATGAACATGAGATGCATGCACATGTGGCAGCATGTATCTACCATGCATAGGTGGTAGAATGTAAAAGGTGTCCTCTTTACATTCACTTATTTGTCTACTGTGTGCACATGTACACTTGCACTTAGGCAGGAGTGAAGATTACCCCAGAGTCATCCTAAGGAACATCCGCTGCCTTTGAAACAGGCATCTCTCGTTGGCCTGGAGCTCACCAGGCAGGCTAGACTTCCTGGCCAGTTAGTACTCAGATCCTCCTGGCCAACACTGGGTTTCTGACTCCCTAGCACTGGAACAGCAAACATGCCCCCATACCCAGTGTTTTCACATGGGCTCTCGGGATAGAACTTATCTTCAACCTTGCAAGATAAGTTAGCTGACCCCCAGCCCCTATGGTATTTGATACCATAGAACAAAGGGTATTCAATGTTAGGTTTTAAAGTCATCAAACCTGAGAACACTGCTTCTCATAAATATGAGAATACATAAATACACAATGGCCAAGTTGTGTACAGGGCCATTTCAGAAATTGTTAGAAGTCCTGTGCTAATGCCAACCCAAAACTCAGCTAATAATTTATGAAACAACTCATATGGCAATTTTTAAAATAAAATCTACTTAACACAATCCAAAGACACACTAATTTGGTGCTTGTATGCTTGCTGAGGTATGGGCAGGGAACTATGAAAAGTCTTTGTTTTCCATAATTAAGTCACTGTATGTCTGCAAGAGCATCCTGTAACTCACAGCACACAGCAGTCTGGCATCTGAACTGACTGGGGCAGCAGGTGGCAGGAAGGCAGTAGAGCGCCTGTACCTGTGTTAGAATCAAGGTCCAGCAAGCTCTGTGGCCAGCAGAAACACCTCGGATCCATCACACTTGAGTTAATGTCAGGTATGTTCAGAAACCTGTCACTGAGCCAGTGAGATGGCTCAATTCCATCTCCTGATGCCACCATGGCAGAACCCATCCCTGAAGGCTGTCCTCTGACTTCCCACATAAAACCCTGCACAGCACTCACGCGCGCACACACTTCCAACACAATTATTTTTTAAAGAAACCTTTTATCATTGCCAAGAGTTTTGTGATCTCCACATACATGGAATTAAGACTCTTAACAGTTTAAGAAACTTGGCCCTATCCCACAAATCATTCCTTGTGCCTTTACTGTAAGTTATCAATGTCAAGGACAAGGCTTTTGTGAATAAAGTGAGAAAACACCCCAGTTTCAGCACAAACACAAACCTGGCGCTCCTGTTGATCCTGAAATTTTCCCACTTAAATATTGCTTTTATATTTAGCAGGGCCCAACTTCTTCACATGCTTTAAAAAAAAAATCTTTTAAAAAACAAAAACAGCTGGGGGGGTGGGGTGGCGCACGCCTTTAATCCCAGCACTCAGGATGCAGAGGCAAGCAAGGACCTCTGAATTCGAGGCCAGCTTGAGCTACAGAGTGAGTTCTAGGAAAGGCGCAAGGCTATACAGAGAAACCCTGTCTTGAAAAACAAACAAACAAACCAAAGCTGGGTGGTGGTGGTGCATGCCTTTAACCCAGCACTCTCAAGGCAGAGGCAGGCGGGTCTCTGGGTTCAGCCTGGTCTACAGATCCAGTCCTAGGACAGAGAAACCCTGTGTGTGTGTGCGGGTGGGGTGGGGAACTAAACAAACAAACAACAACAACAACAAACATGTGTGTTGCCTGCATTTATGTCTGGGCACTGTGTGCATGCTTGGTGCCTGAAAAGCCAGAAGAGGGCGTCAGATCCCTAGACTGGCGTAACAGATTGCTGTGAGCCACTATGTTGATGCTGGGAATTGAACCTGCTTCCTCTGCAGGAGCAGTCACTACTCTTAACTCTACAGTCCCATGCTTCATAACTTTTTACAAGGAAATTTCCTTTTCAGACTTTGTGAGAAAATGGTCCTTCAACAGGAACATATTAAAGGCTCTGAAACAGCCGGGCAGTGATGGTGTACCCCTTTAATCTCAGCACTCTGTGAGTTTGAGGCCAGCCTGGTCTACAGAGTGAGTTCCAGGATAACCAGTGTTGGCATTCAAGTATCTGTACTGGCCTGTCCTTAGGGTCCTGACAGGATACATCCTCAGCTGCAGCCACTAAGAGCACCCCCTGTGTGCATTTGCTAGGGTCCTTTATAAAAGACAGGCCCTGCCTGGCTCTTGTCTCTTTCTCTTCATTCACTCTGGTCCCCAGGGACTGGTCTCCACCCCTTCACTCCTCTCCCCCCACTTAAACCTCCCACATGGGCCCTGTTGTATGGTGTTGACTCCTTTTTATTATTTTTAAAATACAACAGCTAGAGCTACACAGAGAAACCCTGTCCCCCAAAACAAGACAAACCAAAGCTCTGAAACATCCTTTAGTTGAGCACAAGCTATGAGACTCAATGCCAGTGTCACACTTGCACCACTCTGAAGCTAAGCTTAGGGAAAACCTGACAATCCTGAAGTTGTTTCACTGTGGAAGATGTCCAGCTGACAGAGCATGTCTGCGAGGGATTATCTAGATTAGGTCAATTCAGGTGGGAAGATCCATCATGAATGTGGTGACATCAATCCTTAGGCTGGGGGTCAAGACTGAATAAACAATCACTGCTCTCTGGGTGTGATGTGATCAGCTATCTCAAGCTCCCATCACATGACTTTCCCCTTCACCATGGACTGTAGCCTCCAACTGTGAGTCAGAATAAACCCTTCCTTGTTACGGCCGCTTTTGTCAGGGACAGCACAGCCAGCACAGCACCCCACACTGTAAGAAGCCCACAAACCCCAGCTAGCCCTTCAACAGAAACGATCCTTTCCCAGCATTCCAACTCTTACTAGCAACATCCCTTAGGACTCTCTTACTTGTGAGACAGAACTAAAGCTTTCAGGTCAGGCTATCTCCAGGTGCAAAAGGGGGAAAAATGAATCAAAATGACTTAAGTATTATATAAAGATTTTGTAGTCACACATTTTAGGAAAGTGTAGAAATTTTTAAAAAATGGTAGAATTAAACCATAAAGCAACCAGGTGTGGTGGGGGCACACCTTTAATCCTAGCAAGGGAGGCAGAAGTAGGCAGATCTGAGTTCAAGGCTGGCCTGATCTACACAGCAAGTTCAAGGGCAGCCAGGACTACATAGACAGAAACAATAGAAAAAAACCATAAGCAAGCAGTTTTAGAAATTATTTTCTAAGTAACCTGAATCTGCTTTACAGGACACTATGATAGGAACATTTCCTCCTGCAAAGGGAAGGGAGTAAATACATGCACACTCACCCTCAACAAAGACATTCTCGTCCCATTGATCCACAGGTACTGGTACAGACGGTCAGAGTTTCTGTTGCTGTGATAAATCACCATGACCAAAAGCAACTTTGGGAGGAGAGCTTATACTTCTCGGTAACAGTTCGTCACTAAAGGAAATCAGTGTAGGACTCTAGGCAGGGATGAATACTGAGGCTATGGAGAAGGGCTGCAGACTAGCTTGCTCCACCTTTCTTACAACATCTAAGACCACTAATCCAGGGTGACACCACCCCTGGGAGTTGGGCCCTCCCACGAAAATGAACCACAGGCTAGTCTCGTAGGATCATTTATCAATTGAAGTTCCCTCTTCCCAAATGACACTGGCTTGTGTCGAGTAAACATAAAACTAGCTAACACACAGACACTAACTGTAGTTTTCTGATAACTACTTAACATAAGCCACCTGGGCCCTGGGTACTTGGCTCAATCAACCCTCATGTCGAATTTGAAAAGAACTCTTCATAAAGGTGTCAGGTACCTGCACTAATGAGAAATAACAAGGTAATTAAATGAAATGTTTATCACACAACCAAACTACATCTCTGTTTTTTGTTTGTTTTGTGGGAGGGGGAGGGGGGAGTTTCGAGACAGGGTTTCTCTGTGTAACTTTGGTGACTGTCCTGGATCTCGCTCTGTAGACTGTCTGGCCTCGAACTCACAGAGTTCTGCCTGGCTCTGCCTGTTGAGTGCTGGGATTAAAGGTGTGCGCCACCATCGCCCGGCCACATCTCTTTCTTAATTTACTCAAACCAACTGAAATTTGTATAAGCTGAGGCTCCTCTATCCAAAATGCTTGGGCTCGGGAGTGTCTTGAATTTTCTGTATTTAGAATATTTTCATGTACATGTCTTGGGGATGGCATAAAAGTCTAAACATAGAATTCATCGTCTCATATATGCATCCTCACATATCCTGAAAAATTTATACAGTATTTCCGATAATTTTCTATTTTAATATAACAAAATGTCATGGTGAGGAATTTCCCACTTGTAGTACCATGCCGGCACTCAGAAAGTTTGGGATTCTGAAGCGTTTCGAAATTTGGATTTCCACGTTCGGGATGCTCACAAGCTGCACTTCCCAAGCGGCAAATCCACAGGACTAGACCCTAAGCTCGTCACCGAGTTACGACGTTGCTACTCAACCATTTTTATTTCAAAATAGGAGTCACAGAGTAGCTTTCTGGGTCTCCATCTCGTCTAACAAGCCATCCACCAAGGCTGTCTTTCTGCTCCTAAATGGGTCTAACCTTTCTCTTGGTGGTCTCGGTTTCCTGCACCGCGAAAAGGGACCATCCGCTCGGGATAAGGAATGCGACCAGCCCGCGTTTCCCGCAATCCCCCCTCGCTGGCTCGCTCTCTGCAAGCCGCGGCTGCAGCTGCTCTTGCCGCTCCAGCCTCCCCGCGGCCTTCGGGGTTCCTGCGTGTTATCCCGCTGTACACGGCCCGCCTCGGCCTGCCTCCGCCCCTTACCTCCCATCGGCTGCCTGACAGCGCCCAAGGCCCCGGGGCGCCGCGCACTCACCTGCAGGTGACCTGCTTGGTGCTCATGGCGGCGGGGCCACGGGCTGGAGTCGCGCTAAACTCTCGGAGCCGCCAGCGCCACGGCCCAGCCCGGCCCCGCCCCGCGCGCGCAGTCGCGTCACTCTTGCGCGCGCCACCCCCGTGCGTGCGTCACCTGGAGGGTGCCGGCCGGAAACCTAACCGCCGTCACAATTAGTTCCGCCTGGGGCGTGGAGCCGGAAGGTCCTTACTCCCTAGCGCTCCGGGTCTCGCCTTTTCAAGACTAAGGGGTTGAGCGTGAATGGCATCCGAGACTTGCCAATCGTTTGCAGGGCCGTTACTTCCTAGGGTTTGGCCCCATCTCCAAGACATTCTTTTTTTTT